ATCATGTCTTATCAGTAAATAGTCTGATATAAGAGTTGTGAGGTTTCAAGAACACCTGCCTATTCACTGATTAAAACCTAACATTCTTTTCAGTGGTAAGAGTAGTAAGGATCCTTGAACACCTGCCTTATTGAGGGTTATCCACTGTTAAGAGTAGCAGGGGAATCTTGTCTTATCAGCGACTAGTCTTACATAAGAGTTGTGAGGTTTCAAGGACACCTGCCCTATCACTGATCAAACCTAACATTCTTTTTAATAGTAAGAGTAAGCAAGGATCCTTGGGCACCTGTCTTATTGAGGGCTAGCCACTGATAAGAGTAGCAGGGGAATCTTGTCTTATCAGCGACTAATCTGACATAAGAGTTGTGAGGTTTCAAGGACACTTGCCTTATCAGTGATCAAACCTAACATTCATTAAGGGGTAAGAATAGTAAGGATCCTTGGACACCCGTCTTATTGAGGGCTAGCCAGTGATAAGAGTTGCAGGGGAATCCTGTCTTATCAGTGACTAGTCTGATATAAGAGTAGCGAGGTTTCAAGGACACCTGCCTTATCAATAAACATCCTAGCGCTTAGTCAGTGATAAAAATAACAAGGATCCTTGGACACCCGCCTTATTGAGGGTTAGTCAGTGATAAGAGTAGCAGGGGAATCCTGTCTTATCAGTGACTAATCTGATATAAGAAGTAGTGAGGTTTCAAGGACACCTGCCTTATCAGTGGATAGCCATAGGATAAGCCTACCGCTAAATGTTCTTAGCACACAGGGGCCAAGACCCACTGAGTTGCCTTTGTCAAACAAAGCTCCAATAAAAGATGGAGATGTCCGGAATGATCTGCCATACCGCCGCTAACTTTCTCCGCAATCTGCATTTGTTCAGTCATAACTAAGTGCCTCTGATTCTACTAAGAAAGGCTAAGTGAGATCTTGCTTCGGAAAGAGACCATCCATTTGTTTGATTCCTTCCATAAGAAACCTTTCCACAGGTTGGATTGGTGATATGTTCATGAGTGTTGTGGGAAGGAAGGGAATTCAGACGAGATAATCACAAGGGGAATAGTAAGGTGAAATGTGGAGAGTTAGTACGACAATAAAAGGGGAAGTGAACTATTGTTCACTACCTGAAGCGGAATGGGCAACAACCCAAAACAATTAGTTAAGGATAGAAGCCAGACAAAAGATACAGAGTCTAGAAGGAACTTTGTAGATCTCAGTTAGGAAGAGAGATGTTAAGATTCTCTTGGACTGTGTTGTGTCTACAGGTTCCGATACTTCGGAGAACTTACGGGGAATCCGTAAGGGCAGCAATTCTGTTATCTCTGGATAACAGGTCGGTAGAACTCCGACTCACCTTCCACCCTTGGCTTGACACCCACACCTGGGTCAGTAGCTCAGCAGGGATACGCCCATCGAAGGGATGGTGACAGCTCCCGCAGGTGGAGGTATGTTGTACCTCGCGGGATCCCTAACCTGTCGTAGGGAGTCGCGAGAGGTATAACACGCGCGCACGGTCGAAGTTGGTATTTCATAAAGTGACAAAAAGAAAACTCCTGTGTGACACGACCGTGAGGTCCGACACAAAACTACTTTGCGTCTAGGTTGTGGGACCGCCGCGCGTGACAGGTGGTGCCGTTGCCGGGGATCTCGCTTCTAGCCGAGGTCCTTAGTGAACGAACTCGGGTAAAGCAAAATCTAGGCAGAACGACAATTATTGAAGATTCGGTAATTAACTAAGACTCTAATAGCTGGTGACGAGTAGTTACTCCAAGTAAATCGGTGAGTAAAATAGGGACTAAATACACATAAATACGATTGCCCTACTTATACTAGGAGTTAGTGAATATGGCACCTAAGGGGCGTGGGACAGGAACTGGTAGAGGAAGAGGCGGCAAACAGGGGAAGGTGCCTGAGAGGCCTATGGACTTGACTAAAGATAGGGAAGAGTGGAAGGAAGATGATGAAGGACTAGAAGAAAAGGACGAAGGGTTAAGGGCGAGACGATATCGGGAGGGGAGGCGCATGCATACCCCAAACCCTGATGAGATGGCTTACTATTCGTATAGGTACGCAAGGCGTTACGGAGAATCTCCGCCACGCTTCGAGCTGCCTGATCGCTCGCATCATAGCCCTTACCCACCGTCTCAAGAGAGGCAGCTGGCCGTCCTTCCCACGCCTCACCAACAAGGACCCCGCGGGTGGGTTAATAACATACTTGCTGTACAAAAAAATTATATAAAGGTTCAAAAGGATCAAAGGAGATAATGGGGAATCGGTCAGATCTTAGGATTATAAGTCTACTAGCTAAAATAAAAGAGATGTGGGCTGGATTGTGTTGTGTGGTAGGTGGAGTATACCAAAGAAAAGAAGATGGTTTCTGCCCATTATCAAGTCACGATCAGAGAGCCCGTGCAAATGAGGCGTGGCCTGATGATGAATCTGCCAAGTCGTCATGAGGAGAACGAAAAGACGGGGTATTGGGGGATTACTATAGAGGAACAAACTTTCATTTGGATCGAGTCTGGATGGGTTAGAGGCAAAAAATCGCGCAGTAGAAAGGGTTACCGTATATCTTTCTGTGGAGAAATTGCAAACTATCATAATAAATATAGTCTTAGGAACTGATCGATCTCTTTCCAGACTATTGCGGATAGCTGAATCCGCGCTCAAGTCTAGGGGAAGAGATGCAAGTTTGAATGGGTTTGAAGCAATGATAGGAACTGTGAGGGTAAGAAAGGCTAGCGAATTTCTTCCGCCAGCAGCATATATAAGAGGAACCCTTCCTATGTTCATCGTAGATGCAACCTTCGGAGGGAGGACCAAAGTAGAAAGGGCTGTGGAAGCCGCTATGGCAGTACCTGAGAGGGAATGTCACGCATCTACCCCTCTCCTGATATACTACGTGTACTTAGAAATAGGGCATTTAATTGCAGAAAGGGATCCGCAAAGCATACTATCTCGGGTTGACTTATATGCACGTCAACACGATTGGGGAAATAGGCATGTTTACTGGGAGGAACTGAAGCAGGAGATCATAGATCAAATAAGAAGAAATGCTCAAGGAAGGCTGAGATAGAAAATTATTGAGAGATGGGAAATCGAGTGGTTACTAAGAAAAGAAAGGTTCTTTCTTTGACTGTTGTAACAGGAATACCAGGATGGCTCCTTTAATGTGGTTTGCTGATCGGAGTTTTCTGATCAACCTGCCCGAGCCAAAGGAAGGAGGAGTTAAGATGACGCTGCCGAAGAGAACGATAGATCTGGATGAAGAAATGGACTCATGGTGTGGGATACCAATAGGACCAGAAGCCTTCCTTTGGATAGAAACCGGGTGGACCGCGAGGGAAAGACAGGCAATAGTAAAGGTGACGCTTTATTTACCGGTCCTTCTCTGGAGGGCACACGCGATCGATCTTGCGATAGGAGAAAGCTGCCCCGTCTCTAGATACGTGTTGATAGCTGGAATGGTCCTTGAAGCATTTTCAAGAATAATGTATTGGGGAGAAGAAGGAGAAGTTATAAAATCAATCGAAGCAAAGTGAGCTGCTGAATTCGTATATCCAACAAGGTATATTAAAACCACGCTTCCGAGCTTCATAATTGATGAAGCATTTTGGGGGATTGAGAATGTAGAACGGGCAGTACTCGCAGCCCGATCTGTTCCAGAGATGGGTTTCGAATTGAGGCTTCGGAAGTTGTTTACCGTCTATACTTAGAGATGGGACCGAAACTAAATAATAGGGATTTTTATAACATACTATGCGTGATAAACACGTATCTACGCATCTACCGTTTGGAAGATCTCTCGACCTACTGGCGCAATCTTTGCAGGGAGGCATGTATAGAAGAATTTATAGATGAGATCTCTTCTTTATTTGGTATGGTTAGAAGCTTTTGGCATGGGGACTGGGTGCCCCTAGAAGAGATACTCGGATGAGAGAAAAGAGGTATGAAAGGTCATATAGCGTAAAAAGTTACGTCAAGATAGTGACAAAGAGGGTGGATCAATGGTCGTTTTGTGTGTCTTAACAGGGTCTACGGTTTAGCAGGAACCAAAAAAGAAAAAGGGAAAGAGATGGGTAAAGTCAGCGCCAATGGAGATCCGCCAATCACCGCGGCGGAAATCGCCAAGTTGCTGGAGAAGAGGACGATAAAAAGATCTAACCTACCAAGGATAGACATCTTCCCATTCAAAGGGGATAGGGTGACGCATTGGTTGGAACTACTCAAGTAGATATTCAACCAACTGACCCCAGCCGAGAAGTTTGCCCAATTGTTCGAATATGTATGGTGGGAATGCACCTCTGACGTGGAAGAGGTAGTAAAAAAGTCCAACAATTATTGGGCTGAGTTTAAGAGGGGCATCCAGTAGACATTTAAGCTAGGAGATGGCCTGCTCACAATTGACCATCTCTATAACATGAACAGAGATGACTTCACCACGATCAGGGCATTCGACAATACATTCGAAAAGACAGCCGAGAGGGTCCCGGGGCTGTCTGAAGAAATGCAGTGCGTCATTTTCCTAGGGAAATTCTCTGGGTACGAGGCAATGTAACTAACTCGAGGAGGAGCCGCTGGGAGAAAGAAAACCTGGGATACCATCAAAAGAAATATCACGGCAGGAGACATGGACCAAGTGTTCCATCACCAAATCAAGGTCGAACGAAAGAAGAGAAAGGCAGTAGGGACGCTTCAAGGAATGGATAGTATACTTGGAGGAATGTTGAGCAATATGGCAAATGAGATAAAAGAGCTTAGGGAAAGAGTGACCCCGTCGAAAGTGTTAACAGTGACACAACCATCAGGAAAGAGGAGGAAGGAAGAGGGAGAAGGAGAGAAAGAAGTTGAAGAAGGGGAACCCGAAGGAACGGGCAAACTGACCAAGAATCATAGGAAAGCTAAAAATATCGCTATCAGAGGACAAGGCTCAGGAAAATGACAAGTTACTCAACAGGCGATAGTCCAGAATGGACATGAGCCATTAACAAGCACGGCGCAATATGGTCAATGGCCCGTGGGTCCGCCTATGGGAGCATGGCCTGGGTACTTCCCGATAGGGTCATGGCCTACGCAGGGTCCATATCCCATGTTACCCCAGAATCAGAATTTGGGAGGAGACCAAAACATGGGACAACTTCAACTAACAGGGCAAAACCAACCAGGATCGAGTCGCCAGGGTGGCCAAAACCAGAACAAGTCCCAAGGGCAAGGACAAGGACAAGGACGTGGAAGAGGTAGGAATGCTGGTAGGAATCAGGGACCAGGGGAACGAGGAGCAGGAAATAGAGGAAGTGGGTAYCAAGGTGGAAACTGGGGACAGTTCCAAGGGGGTGCGAATCCGGTAGGGCAAGAATACCRGCAGGGGTATGRTCGTGGTTACGACCAAGGCTATGGAAGGGGGTTTGGTAGAGGAAATGGGTCATGGAACGGACAGGGTTTTGGCAGAGGATGGATAGACTACAGCGAATGCGTTTGTACCCACTGTGGAATCAAAGGGCACATAGTAAAGCGATGCCACGTCAGGAAACTTGACGAGCGCGATGGACTTATAACATCCAACATAGATGGCAAGGTGTTTGACAGAACAGGAAAGCTGATCGATCCTGAGATTCCGGGAGGCACTAGAGAAGAGGCCCTTCGCATAGCCGCGCTAGGTTCCAACGCGCCGGGGATGTTCAGAATGTGGCAAGAAAAGGAAGGACCAGTCGTACGGGTGGAAGATGTAACTGAACTAGAAGAAAAACTGAGCCGAATGGGGATCGAAGGAAGCAAGGAAGACGTACCCCTTGTGGAAGAAGAAGCAGAAGAGGATGACGTTAGGATTACCATCAGGGACACATTTGATAAGATGGAGGATCTGGTGAATAAAATGCAAAGGCTGCATTTGAGACTTCAAGGGATATGTGAAGAAGCGGGGAAAGAAGGGGTTGGGTGCCCGAAAGTATTTACCATGGGACGTGGAGGATCAGAAGATGGGCCAAATGAGCCCAACCCAAGAATGTTGAGGGCCAACATGGCCGCAAAGAACAGTGGGGGTCAAAGAAGCGTAAGAGGAACGATTCCGTTCGGTACAAGAAGACCCGCAGGAGAAAATCCTCAAAAGGAACAAGCCCAGGCTTCCCAGCCAGCAGAAGAAGAACCACCTATCACRGTAGAGGGTGATGAGGATGAGGATGAGAAGATTAGGGAGGAAGAAGAAAGGCAGGCGGAGATAAGGGCTAAGAGAAGGAAAGGCGAAGCTAAGGAAGGGAGATCAAAAGGGGATACGGGACCAAGCAAGAAGAGAAAGTACTAAACCTCGATCGAAGAAGAGGTGGATCTGGAAGGCCTGGTGAATAAACTGCTGGAAGGGCACAATGAACTATTAAACCTGAAAGAAATCCTCGCTTCAGCTCCTAAGTTAAGAGAGATGGTGAAGGCTAGGTTATCACGCCGGAGAGTAGCCTCGGTCCGGATGGAGGATTTGATTCCCAAAGAGGCAAACTGGAGCGTGGCAGGGAGTAAAATGGACTGGAAATTCGTAGGCACAGGGTCCATTGATGTTATGATAAAAGGAAAGATGTGTCCTGGGATGGTTGATACCGGGGCAGAAATGAATATTGTAAATGGAGAAACCGCGGTAAAATTAGGGTTGGAGGTGGATCAGAATGATTGCGGGTTTCTCAACGGAGCCAGCGGCAAGACCGGATACACCGGTGTCGCATCAAATGTGGTCATAGAAATAGGAAGAGTCAAGGTACGTACGTGCTTCTACGTTATGCCCAGCTTGGACCTTCCAATATTGCTGGGAAGGTCATTCCTGTGCAGATCTGAATCACTCATTATGAACAAGCATGACGGCACTATGTTTGTCATCTTGTGCGATCCTTCCTGTGGGAACTTCGAGGTTATCACCTGTAGGAACACAGACCCACACAACTCGAAGAACAGGCTCAATGCAGGATCTTACACGTTCGAGGAATCTGAGAATAGGAGGAGAGAATTGGAATGGGAAGAAGAAGAAGAGGAATCAGATGATGAAGAAGCCAAAGGACTTGTATTAAGTCTAACGAATATCAGTGACGCAGTGGAACTGGTATCGGCTTATAGGATGGCTGATCCAGATGCAGTCAGGGCACTCGCAGAAAGGATCCAAGATGATCCAGAAGGGGGAAGAGTCGATCTCGTTTACCGGCCACCTCCTTCTACTCAGATGATAGTGCCGCATGCGCCGAATGCTCAAGCTGCCGGCCAGCATTTTTTAGGGGTGGGCTCAAGCAGGGCTCCAAAAGGAGGTACAAGACGGTAGATAAGAAGAGTCACCCTGTGCTAGTTCTAGTAAGTCAAGAAGAAGGGGTGTATTATGATCACGAAAGATAATTGATACAGCGAATGAGAGAAGGCATCCAGAACGGGCCTTGTCGTATCAACGATGAGACTGAGAAAGAACTGATAATAGGGGAACCTGACTTTCTGACAAGGCAAGAGGAGGACTTGGTAAAAGAACTGATACGTGAAAAACATGGGGCATATGCCTTCAACGATGATCAGCGTGGGAGGCTGGATGTGGACAAGATAGAAATGATCCGCATTCATACTGTACCTCATGAGCCATGGAATGTCCGAGGGGCTAAGTATCCCAACCCTGAGGATCGCAGAAGGGTGGTAGGATACCTAGATGGGAAGATCCGCACGGATGTGGCAGGGTACTCCAGTGGACCATATGCCTCTCCCTGGTTCTATTTTGTAAAGCCAAATGGAGTTCTCAGATGGGTGCAAGACCTCCAACGATTGAACGCGGTAACTGTAAGGGATGCAGGGGGTCTGCCCAATGCGGACCGGTTATCAGAAGCTTATGCAGGTAGGTCGATTGTGTCCCTCATCGACCTCTACTCTGGATATGATCAGTTTTCAGTCTATCCGGCACACCGTCCCATCACGGTGATGCACACGCCAAGGGGATTAGTCCATATGAATGTTGCGCCGCAAGGATGGACCAATGCTGTGGCCATGGTGCAACGAAGCATGATCAGGGTAATGCAGCCAATCAGCCCTCAGATTACCGAGCCATACATAGACGATCTTTTTGTCAAAGGCCCAATAGAGAAGAATGAGTCCGAAGTGGCTCCAAGGGTGAGAAAGTTTGTGTGGGAACATGTTCAAGGGTTAAGAGGAGTCTTATCTCTACTAGAAGAGTACAACCTCACCGCCAGTGGTGTGAAGTCAAGACACTGCGTGAAAGAGGTAACCATTCTGGGATACATTTGCAACGAGCATGGTCGGCGCCCTGATAAGAAGAAGACCAATAAAATCCTGGAATGACCTACTCCTTTCAGAAATGTGGGTGAAGTCCGAAGTTTCTTGGTACCTGTGGGTTCTGGAGAAGATTCATAGAGAGATTTGCTAGTAAAACAGAGCATCTAAGGAAGCTAGTCCGGAAGGATCAAGAATAGGAATGGGGAAACCATCAAGAGGAAGTGGTGGAGGAATTGAAGATGGAGTTTAGAGAGGGAGGTCTGGTACTAGGGGTACCAGACTTTGATGCAACTATGGAAAGGCCCTTCATAGTTGAGACTGACGCTAGACCAACCGCCCTGGGAGGCGTCTTGATTTAGGCTGACAGTGGAGGAAAGGAGAGGCCGTTGAGATTTGAAAGCAGGACACTGAACTCAACCGAGAGGAACTACTCGCAGTTTAAAAAGGAAGTTTTGGCGGTCTTTAGGCACTACCTCTTTGGGAGGAGGTTTGTACTTAGGATCGATCCTACTGCACGTGTACTCACTCAAGAGTTTCTCGCCCTCAGATCCGACCATAGCCAGATGGCTCACCTATATCTGGATGTTCAACTTCCAGTTAGAGCGGATCCCTGGAAACAAGAACAGGGCGGACGACATCAGCGGAAGTGAGTGGGGAAATCAGGGAGAATCTAATGAAGAGACGCCTCCAGTAGACGGGTTTTTGGACGAAGGGGAAGACATGCGAACTCACGTAAACTGTTGGTTCATGTTTGTCGAGAGTAAGAAAATGAGAAGAGGAAATCCGATGTGGCATCCGCCTCTCGAATTTATGAGAGAGTCTTCCCTGATACTCACGCCATTAGAGGAAGAGGACTCTTGGGGCGAAAGAAACACGGAATGGATGATGGAGCTGGCTCTGGCAGAGAACTATGGGATAATGGATGAGCCGCGAACGATCGAAGCAGGAGTCCAACAGGCAAACGAGCAGGTAGCCATGATGGGGAGAATGTACTACCTGACCAATTTACAATTATAGGTTCAAGCGAATGATGAGAGAATAGTGAAGGCTGATGAAATAATTATTGGTGATGATTATGAATTTGATGAAGAGAAGGAAGGAGAATTCGAACAAGACGAGATTTCAGAAGAATTCAGGGAGGAAGAGTACGAAAGATTTTACCTGGAAATGGGTTTGCTCCTCTCAGGAGATAAAAGAGAGAGGGAAGTGGGTGAGAAGACTCTCAGAATGAGAGACCACTATGTGGTAAGAGGTGGCCATTTGTTCATCAGGGACAAGAGGGGGCCGCCGTGACGAGTTGTATGTGGGAGAAATCGTCAGGTTGACGTAGTAGCCGCTTTGCATGATGGGATAGTCGGAGGACATCGGAGTTTCGCAGCTACTTACAAGAAGGCGATGGAGCTCTACTACTGGGAAGGGATGTTTGAGATGACGCGAAAATACTGCGAATCGTATGTACCCTGTCAAATTCGATCGCCTATCAGGTACAAGGAACCTCTGCATCCTAGATATATCAAGGAAGTAGGGGCGGTTGTTCATCTGGACCTACTTGCTATGCCACTAGGTCTCGGAGGATATAACTATATATTCGACGCAAGGGACAACCTTACAGGATTCGTGGATAGCAGAGCGATCAGGAACAAGACCGGGACAACGCTGGCAGATTGTATTAGAGAATATTATCTAAGATATCATTTCGTATTGAAGTTTACAATGGACAGGGGGTCTGAGTTCACCTGTGGGGAAGTGAAAGAATTGCTGAAGGAACTAGGGGTCAATGGTAATTATACGACTCGGACTCATTCACAGGCGAATGCACCGGTTGAGAGGGGCCATAGCACAATTACTAAATTACTGGCCAAATGGACCAGTGGAAAGCCGAATCTCTGGCCAAAGTTCCTAAGAATAGTATTTTTTGTAGAAAACATCACTGTAAAAAGAACGACCAGGTATGCACATGCGACACTCTGGTATGGGCGTCACGCCACGTTTCCTATTGAAAGCTTCCTGAAAACTTGGCGCAGACAGGACCTGGAGAACAACTTGACTTTGGAGGAACTGTTAGATCTAAGGGCAGGACAGATCAGCGTCACTGAAGAAAGGGTGCACGAAGCGGCCATGAACGTTGCAGACAGCAAAGGAAAGGATAAGGAAAGATGGGACAAGCTACCAAGAGTAAGACTCGAACCTCTACAAGTTCGCGAGACAGTACTACTCTACGATTCCTCTCTAGAAATGCAGTGGTCGCGGAAATGGACAAACGGTGGCTAGGACCATTCAAAGTCAGGAGACTGGGACTTCATGGGGCATATGAGCTAGAAGAGCTGGATGGGACTACAAGGAAGGACTGGGTCTCAGGATCTAGACTGAAGAAATTCCGAGTCAGAGAAGAAGTAAGCTCAGTTACGATACGAAAGCTTGGATAGATTGGGAAGATATTTAGGCATGCATAGGTGAATCAGTTCCTATACAGGTATGTACCCAATTGCCCAAGATTGTGCTCATACATATATGGATATATACATGCATATATATATATATATGTATGTATGTGTCCATAAATGGATGCAGAGGGGTATAAGTGGGGATATGTGGGTGTATATACGCTCAAGTATTTATAAATGTATATATATATGTATATATGATGTATATATATATATATATATATATATATATATATGTGTATGTGGACGTGTATGTAAGTACCTAATAAAAGGGGGCATTGTCAACTTGTGTTTAACCAGGAATGTTGCCTTGATGATAATCTGACCCTCGTCCCTTGCCAATTGCTCCTTCTCTGTATGCAGGCGTGACCCTTGGAAAGAAGATGCCATGGCGCAGAAAGAAGCAATGGCAGGGACCTCTGGACTTGCCTTGAGAAAGGGAGGGCAGAGGAGGGAGTTGAGAGTCTCAAGGAACCTGGAATAGCTGCCCATTTACAGGGCTGGAGACAGCCTGAGAGTTTTTCTGCGAGATCTTGAGGAGTACGCGTTCAGGAGAGAATGGGGCGACAGGGAAAGGATTGCGAACGTGAAAGGAGCAGGAATGTACAAAAGGAGGATTGAAGGAGTGGTGGCAGGTTGCACAAGGTGGAGAGTATGCAAGGTGAGACTATGGAGAGACATGGGGGAATTCCCAAGGGATGATGTGGAGGATGATTTAAGGTTTGATGGGACCAATCTGAAAGACTTTGTTGAGAGCTTGCAGCTGGCCGCTGAGAGGGGCGGATGGAGCGAGGAGGAAAAGAGGAAGCAGTTGATCACGAGATCAGACAAAGGCGAAAAGGAGGAAGTAAGAGGAATTGTGGAAGGGAGTCGAACGTGGAAAAGGATAACGGCAGAATTATGGATAGCCTACACCCAGGCCAGGCAAGACCAAACAAGAAAGGAAAGGCTGCAAAAGAAGGGGCTATGGATTGGAAGAGAGGTGACTGAGCCACAGGGGAAGGAGGAAGAGAATGAAGAAGAGGATAATGTATCTCTGAAGAAGTTGAAGAACAAGGCGAGGATCTCCCCCAAGAGCAGCAGCAAGGAATCTGAGCAGGCTGAGGGAGATGAACAGGAAGAGGAGGAGGCAGCAGAGGAGAGGAAAAGAAGCATGGGGGYCAGTATRGTACCAAGGAAGAAGAAACYTGGAAAGAGAAGGGCAATTGAGAGTGGAAGRAGARAGGTACAAGAAAGGGTGAGTGAAAAAGGGGAAGGAGTAGAAGAAGCYGAGGWAGGAAAGAAGGTCCAGGGAGGAGGCAAGGCTCCCAAAGTCAAGAGAACTGAGGGAAAGAGGCCGATTGGGAACAAGGAAGAGACAAGTGAGATAGGAAAGAAGGAAGATAAGAAGGATGGTCAGGTAGAGAAGTTGATGAGAGATATGGAAGAAATGAGGAAGGAAGTAAGGGAATTGAAGAAAGAGAAGGAGGAATTGCAAAAACAAATGAACCAATTAAGGGTCTCCCTTAATGTGCAAAGCAGAGACCTGGAAAATGAAGTGGCCACAAGAGGTAAGATGGAAATAAGGGTGAATGGTCTGGTTTCTGAGGTCAGTGTGCTAGGGCAGGACTTGGACAATGAAAGCTCAGAAAGAAAGAAGTTGGGACAAGAGTGGGAGAAAAGATGGGAAGAGATATTGAGAAGAATGAAAAAATCCAGATTGAGCCAACAGGGGAAAGAGAAGGAAGCCACAGAGATGGTGGGAAGAAAAGGGGGTGAAGAGAAAGGGGCACAGACTGAGGAGAAGAAAGAAGAGCCTCTTGCACCCGAAAAGAAAAAAAGTGAGAGTGTGGCTATGCCTCTGCTAGGACAAGGTAAAAGGCAAAGGGAATTCCAGTTGGACTCACCAAAGGTGGTTAAAGTTCAGGCTGAGACTTCAATCCAGCCAGACATAAAGAGAATCAAGCCTAGCATAGTTGAACAGAGATGTTTCTTCTGCGCTCAGGAAGGGCACCTCAGAGATGAGTGTTCCATTCTAGCAATTTATATCAAGGAAGGAAAAGCCAAATATGATAGTCGTAAGAGATTGGTGGCCGGTACAGGGCAGACCATTCCCAGGATACCTGAGGGAGGCAGGGTAGCACTTCACAGGATACTGGGACTACCAGTTGATTTCTAGGAAGAAATAGGTAGATGTTTTGAGTAAACTATGACTTGAATTGGCTTAAAAAGACAGTTATGAAAGAGAGAGAGGTGTAAATTAGAGCAAGGGGATATGTTTTTCTTCTTCAGTTGGACATGAGAACAGGAGTGAGACAAGTTGTGTGCTTTACTTCAGTCAGATGAGGAGACTTAGCATAGGAAGTAGTATAGGAAATGACATGAGAGGTACTTGAGGGATAGTAGAGTGGAGTGGTGATCTGACTCTGTAACATACTTGTATTTATATATATCACTCAGGGGGATGAGTTGGTGGACACGACGCACTTGTCACATTGTGTGTGGGCCTTTGTCTTTGGTTGAGTATCTGATAACCTAAGGTCTCCCTTCGTCTATCACTACTAAGACTCTATTGAGATCTAAAGAGGTGATAGAGGAATGGGCAGATCTGTATTTCATGTGAAAGTTTGATGAGTTGTGAAGCTTCAAAAGTTGGTTTGAGTGTACATTTCTTGTTTGAGACCATGTTACGACATGGGTAGACTCCTTTGAGTCTTATCAATTCAATTGAAGAAAATTCTTTGGCAATCTCTATGAAAGTGATGTTTTATTTTGTGGATTCGGACAAGCAAAAAGTCAATAAAAGTTTATTTTAAAAATAATGGTTATATATATGTATATATATATATTTAAAAAAAAATAATGGTTATAAAAAAAATGACCCCGAGCTGCGTGCCTCACCGAGCTATGATCAAAGACTTGGAGTGCACAACCCTGGGTGGCAGCCTGACGAATGCTCAATTACTGGGAATTTCATTTATTTGGTTTATTTAAAAAGCATCGTTCATCCACCTAAGGGTTAACCTGAGGGCATAAATTACCAAGCCTATGGTGGAAAATTGGCATCGTTGGGACGTAGCTCCCAGCGTGGGCTGCTGACCTAGCATAACCAAGCAGCGGACCTTTTGACTATGGCCTCGAAGAGAAACTAGAGGGGAGGCCTCCCCAATGAAGGGATCTATTCAGGTGAATGTCGAAGGGGTCGAAATTAGAAAATTTTAAAGATAGGATGAATATCCCCTCGTTGCGCAACCAACGAGGGTAACCACCGATAAGCAACAACGCGGTGGGCCGCAGCTCCGGTCTGATCAGCAGGACTGTGGTGGGTCAGGATGGAGACCGTTGTCCTCCTGTATTAGGCTTTGGGCAGGACGACAGGAAACTTTGGATCATGATATCAAGAGTTGAACACCCAAGGTCTCGGTTAGGACCCGCGTTTGACGGGTTGAGTTTGTACGCGAACACCGGCCCTGAAAACAACCAACGAATACCTGGACCAAAGACTAAGGGTGTGGGGCAAGGAAAGGTGCGTTTGTCATACTTAACTATTTCATGTACTGTAATTTAGATCAAGTATCCCCACTCTCGATCATTATGTTTTATGTAGGAGACCCGGTTTAAATCTCGGCGGTAATAATGAAAAGTAAGGTGATAGCGTCAATCCTGAAACCACATTTCATTCCAGGGTTCGGATTTGACGAATTGCTTGTCGGGAAACACCTTTATGTGCATATAGTTCTCCGAGCGACGGGGACGTCGCTTAATGAGGTCTGGGATACTGTCGGACAAACTACCCTTACAAGGGTATTTTGCCATGACTTTGCATTCGTCAAGGTGATGGCGTCAGCCGCCATGACGTAGCCAGTCTGGAACAAGAAGGGTGTTCACGCTTGGCGTAACGCTGAAAGCAAACCCCTCGACCACTGAGGCCGGGGGAAGAATCGGTAAGAAAATTTCGTTAAAGAATGTACGCGCGTTATTATGACGCACGCCAAGGTGATACCCCTCGACAGAAGAGGTCGAAGGGACAGGTAGGTTTGTGATTGTGTCGGATATGTCTACGACGCACGCTGAGATGTAGGTTGCTACCTATCTACGTGCTGGTACTGGGTGTCTAAAAGTATCAACTTGTCTTCTTAAGCTCGACCTCCGAGTCGAGTGCTCGCCGCATCTACCTCTACTTAGTGAGGTACCGGCCTACCCGCCACTTAAGTGTTTTCCCGCCACGACCGTCAATATCGCGGTCACGGCCAAATACCGGCCGACCTGCTACTTGAATGTTTTCCCCCCCCGCCATTCTGAGTATGCGGGTTTACCCCGCTGCCTTGTAACTTTCCCGCCGTGTCCCTCAAGGCCACGACTACAGGTAAGTACCGGGTCTACGGCCTTCTGAGCGACTGAGTGTCCTTGCAAGTCACACACGCGCTCAAGTCAACAGGCATGCAGACAGGCATGCGTGCACACACACAGACTTGGAAACCGACTCGGGCCGCTAAGTGCCCCCCCCCCCCCCCCCCCCCCCCCC